CTCCCTTCCTCCTTGTCAGCATGTACCCCCCAATCACATCCGACGCCCAGCGGCAGGAGTACAAGCGGGAGTTTGACTCCGACCTGAAGCAGTACAAGCGGCTGTGTGCTGAAATGGATGACATCAGCGACCAGATGAACAAACTGAGCAGAGAGCTGGACAGCCTGCAGGAGGGCACTGCGAAGTACCAGGTTAGGTGGTGGTGCGGTGTTTTACAGACTACAGCCTGGGTGTCTAAGGCAGCCCCTTGAGGAAGTCTGAGGTTCCACTTTGCTGCTTATCACTGCCTTGAATGACACGTTACAGACAAGGCAGACACTTCTCCAAAGTGCCCTTGGGCCAGTGGATCTGGTTGCTTGAAAAGTGGACAGGTGCTCTTTGTTATGATGCCAAAAATGGGGAAATCATTAAAGATTAAAGGAAGTTCACTCCTGGAGGTTTCGGCATGGTGATTAATAGTTATTTTTGGTTCATGTACCGGCCGTATGCTTGTGCAGTAATGTGTGATCGAGGGAGGCTGTCCTGTAGTGGGGACAGAGAGCAAGGTACAGGTGCCTCAACGCCTTCTTCTCTTGTAGGGGGTGGCTGAAGAATACAACAGATTGAAGGACTTGAAACGGGTGAGTTATCAACGCCCCTCGGCTGTAGCTTTCTGATGGGATTTGTGCAGTAGGCATGCAAGGTCTTTTCTTACTACAAGACACTGTGTAAATGCGGGGACTTTGGTTTACATCCATCGGTTATCTTTTGCATTAAGGAAGCAAGGGACAGGAGCCCACGCTGAAACCCTTGGTGGATTTTAAAGCTTTTTGTTATTGCAGAACGGTTGATGATAATAAATGGTATAACGTATCAGGGGCTGTATTGCAGTAGTGCCGTGCTGTGTCCCCAGGGTCACACAGCTGTGAGGTGTGGATTCCCAGGACTGTCACTGACTCCTGCTCCCTCTCGCGTTCTAGACCCCCGATTACCAGACCAAGAAGCAGCAGTGCCGAGAGCTGCGCCACAAACTGTTCCACATCAAGCGCACGGTGAAGGACTACGACAAGGGGTGCTCCTAGAGCCAGGACCCCAACCGGCCCCACCTACACCCACTCCTTGTAGACTCGACATCAGAGACTAAAACTGTTTTTTGCTGCAGGGATCCTGCAAACCAAAGCTGTACAGATCCTTTGAGATCTACAGGGCTGAATCTGCTTACACAGGGTTCCAGAGCTCCAGACAGATTGAGAAGCCTTCAGGTTTGGAAGGTGAAGGGTCTTGGAAAACATTGCATCTAACATTGAACAGGCTTCGTTGGGGGCATTTCTCAATAAGATGCACAACAGTGCATTGGCTTGTACACTCATCTGTCTTTGTACCTTACATTCTGTACTGCGTTAGCTCCAATAAGATGATCTCCATTTTACAATGCATAACAACGTAGTCAAGCTGCTGTAGCATGATTGTAAGACTTTTTGCTGTTGGACAGCAGTTGGTGACAAATTCAGTCTGATGGGCTTAACTGTGATCGTTAATTATTCCAACTGAAGAGGGGATTGCTCAACATTCCTGCTCACACTTTGTTTCATAATTCTTGCAACCATACAAAAGCAGAGTTTTCAGTTAAAAGATAAGCTATAGCTAGGCCCCTGCAGAGAATGTGATGGTAGGGCCCAGTTGCTAAGCTGTGTCTTTGAGTAGAGGTGGATGACACCTGTAAAGCACAGGTGAAGCTTTTCAGGTAACATGTCTTTAAGCAGTTTTCCCATTCTCGGTGGCTGTTGTGATTATGGTCCTTGGGGATCCTTTGAAATCAAAAGTATTTCTGTGCGAAGCCGTACCTTGTCAGACCTCATATGTCTCCTACGAGACATACATGTCTTTACAAGAGACATACATATGTTAAATGTTGTATTTTTACATGAAATTCAGATCAAGGTGTGAAGGAAAAAAAGCCACTGTAGTATTGCCACTAAGTAATGTCAGATAATCATTTTGGTTTAGATTAAAAATTGGAAGGAATTTAATACAGAGTTATTAAATTAGTAGGGGAAGTTAACACACTTCTGTCTTTAAGTTTAAAATCAAAATCAAAGGCACAGTAGGAAATGTTGCTTTATGGAGTTTCTAACAGATGTTCAGCAGGAATCTTGCACACTTCTGCTTGCCTACATATAGAGGTCTCGCACCTGTGACTTCCTGTAGTGCATCTCTTTTGCATGCTCCTATCACCCCATCTGCAACCCTGCAGCAGCTCTCTGGTGCAATCGAAATACTCGATATTTTTTGTCCCTCTATCACATTCATTAGAATCTCCATAGAAATGGAGACCTGGGAAAGCAGCTGTGACATTAAGCTGTAGTTTACACTTGATCCAACACTGTATCCGTTTTAATATGTTTGTATCACAAAACTGGGGGAGCATGTTGTTTAAGATGGGTGTGAAGAAGTTGTTTATGGAAAAGTGCTTCAGACGGCCAAGCACTAATGGAGTCTTATCTATCGACCTTTGCTCTGAATTTCAAGAACAAACTTCCAAGCATCTGAGCTCTTTCCATGACGCTGAAACTCTTGGAAATCAGGAGAGAAAAGGGCGTGATCGATACCAAGGAGTTTATTCTGTCCAGCCAGTGCCAAAGTAAGCTGCACACAGCTCCATCTGTTGGTTCCCAGTGGAACTGCCGCCCGTTATTTATACCAAAGACAAAAAATGTTTTTGCTTTGATAAATATCTGTCAAGTGAAAATGCATTACTCCTCTCGTGACCAAAGTGACATTATCATAACATAAAATAGTATTTAAAAAGTCTGCTATTTTGATAAAAGATTATCAATTTTGATTTTTTTATGTGGTCTTGTTGGGGTTTAGTGAACCTACCCTGAGCTCCTATAGCTTGGCTGTATTGTATGGTTATTTGTATGGCTGTAGCATGGCTATAGAGTGAATAGAAATTCACTCAGGACAGAACTAACGGATGCCTGTAGTCTTTAAACAGACAGGATATACAAGCCCTGAATAATGTTCCCCTTCACCTGGGTGTGGTAGCACAGTAAAACTGCACAGACTACTGTTATCTACATCTTTTACATTTTAACCAGATGTGGTTGTAAGTCACTTTGAATAAAAGCATCAGCCAAATGAAGAGATCTAGTGAATTACTCATAAGATGCAATGCACTGAAAGGAATTTGTTTAAACATATCAAAGTATGAAGAATGCAAAGTTCACATTACACTCCTCACTATCAAATCTCCCCCATTTTCCGATCAGAGGTGACTTTTCCTGGATTTAGAATCTGGTGTCTGTTAACCTGTATATGGGCTTGAAATAGATTTGTGGAAATTCTATGGAGACATAAGCTCATCTTTAAACTTAAGGTGTGGGCATTGTAGAGCACCGGCTACATACCATGAATCTGGAAATTGTACCTTCTAAGTGAAGCAAGAGATACGTTTCCCTGACAAGAATGTTTAGTGAACGGATGTAACGTACTGGAACAGTGTCAGTCGTCTGGAGTTGTAATTGTGATTTCAGGAAAGGTGAGCAATTTGGCACCTCCTCTCCTCTTGGATGTGGGACTTTTCCTGGCTGGCGGATTTCAAAGCACTGCTGGTTTCTCATGCTGTGTTTAGCTTGTCTGGGTGTCAAAGCTCTGTATGAGGTTCCGAAGATTCCAGATACTTCTAAAGTGCAGTCTGTGTAGTAAATGAGTGATGAGGCACTCTACTTGTGGAAATAGGGGTGCTATATTCCAGGCCAAATCTGAAGGCTGGAAACTGTTTTCAAATTGGTTCGTCAGACACGGCTTGATCAGACTGTGGTGCCTGCATCCGATTTCTCTCACAGAGTGTCAGGTCTTAGCAACTTTTTGCAATTATGTTTATTTGAATTTTTTTGCAAGGATTTTGGATTTGCTTCTCAATTTTCTATTTCAGTAAAAAAAAAAGAGCTTTGAATGCCAGCTGGGAAGACGCAGGAAGTTTTACAGCCAATGCTTGTTTTTTCCACTTTTTGTATGGTGTGTGTTATTGTTGATTTATGGTGGGATAATGTAGCCCTGTTCTGTTTATGCCAGGAGCCACCATGTGCTCATTCCTTAATCCTGAAACCTTTTGCCTTCTTGTAAAAAGACAATGCTCTCAGTTTTTTTATATATGAACTATTACTTTTCCTAAATAGATTAGCAGATTTCCTTTTATTGAAAAAAAAACTTATTGTAAATGGCATTTACCAAACAAAAATAATGACACTTTTTAAATAAATCATTTAATCTGCACAATATGTTTATCAGACATCTTTTTGTTTCCTGCGCTTATGAACACACAGAAGTAAGAGTGTTTTAACAAACATCAGACAGTCTTGCCTCGGGACACTTCAGAATATCCATCTAACCAATACTTGAGTGATCGACAATAATTGAACATTTACTATTTAATTGACCCTAATGGTGAAGGCAATTGGAGTAACTGATGGATTAAATGGATCAGATGAGGTTCCATTCCTAGACTTCTCTGTTGTAAGTGTTTCCTCTATGCATTGCTTTACATGCATGCTTAAAAGATGCATTGATGTTTGGATATCAATCATCCACCCATTCATTTTCTAGCTGCTTCTTCTAATTCAGGGTGGCCAGAGCCTATCCTGGCAAACAACAAGCACAAGGCAGAGAATACCAATCCACTTTGGGGCACATATACAGACACAGACATGCACACTCATGTCTCACATCAGATTTCCTAGAAGCCAGTTAACCAACCAGTATGTCTTTGCACTGTGGGAGGAGACCCACACAAACCCAGTGAGAACATTCAAACTCCACACAAACAGCACCCCAAGTCTGGTCTTTTTTTATCACTTTATTAGCCCTATACAATTTCTTACATTAGGAATTTGTCTTTTGTCGCAGACCCCAACTTGCTCTCCATGAGACACACAGACAGGGAGAGAAGCTGGGGGTCAGAGCGCAGGGTCAGCCATTTATATGGTGCGCCTGGAGCAGTTGGGGTGAAGGGCCTTGCTCAGGGGCCCAACAGAGTAGGATTCCTCTGCTGGCTGCGGGATTTGAACCGGCAACCTTCCAGCCACAGGCGCAGATCCTGAGCCACAGAACCACCGCTCCGCCCAGGGAGCTTGAACCCAGGGCCCGGCCTTGTAACCCATCAATTTCCCAAAATATTGTAAAACCGTGAAATCAGTGCGTTTTTCTAATCATCTGGACAGTGCAAGGAGTCGGCTCTCTCTCTTGTCTCATCAGTTCAACCATCCATGACCTACAGAGGCTTTGTGGGAGGGGTGGAGAGATGAGCAATAATCTGAACACTGTGTTTTCCTGTGAGCACTCAGGCAAACAGACAAACAAATGGACACCTCTGTTCCTGTAAAATATTTTATTGCTTTTCTTCAGGCATTATTAGTTGTCATTTACAAATGTTCTAATTGGTCACTAAAACCCCACCCTTTCCTAGCAAACTAATCTGAATTACACTGTCAGGGGCAATCTCGGCCTCTTCCTCCCCCCTCTCCTGTTCGATACTCTGCCATGTAGGACAAACGAGAAACTGCAGACCTGACACAAGCATACTTCACAACGGGGCTCCAGGTTTGTCTCCGAGTACAGCTGCGACTTCGTAAGTGAAGCAGGATCAGCAGGATACGCAAGTTGGCATGAGCCCTGACAAGAATTTTCACCGTAAAAACTAGAAAAGCCAGGAAAAACAATCATAAACTGAGGCAAAAAATATATATTTATATATAGATTTTTAACACAATCATAGAAGTCAACGCGCGTCTTCACATTGTGATTTGGTGATTAATACGCAGTCATACTCACGGGAGTCTTGAAGCTAATTAGAAGAAAAATCATTTTGACGTGCTGAAACGTTGCGTTTCAGTGAAGATTAGAAGATTCCAGTGCGTGAAGGCGCAGGTATGAGGTAAGTTCTGGTCAGTTGTAGGATGTGAGATTTCTAGCCCATCGTCCGTGCTCACAGGGCTAAAAATGTAATTCTGAGCTTTTTTACATGTACAGGCAAAAAAGACAAGTACATTAAATTATTTGTCAGCAGCTTTGACAATATGCCTTTAATTAAACTATACTTTCAGAGAGATGTTGGTCATTAAACCCTAAATGTCTGTCCATGACGGTCAGCCTCTCAGCTCATCGGGCTGTGTCAAGATGCAATCGCAGTGCAGGGTAGTGAGATGATACATAACTAAGTTCTATGTAGAGCTCCAAGTTTGGGCTGTGCTGTCAGTGTAGTGACTGTTCAGGGCCTATTGCATGTTGAAGACATCTTTTTTTTTAAAGTTTTTTTTCTACGACTTGAAAAACTGATTACAGCATATCTTAAAGGGGAGTCAGAAGTGTTTATTGGCCTTTTTTCAAAGAAAAAGATCAGGGGAAAATAGATTGGTGTATGCACAATCTGAGTGAGGCAAGGGTCACTAGAAACGCTTTCTGTATTTTATTGCTGTCCCATTCGAAGGCAGTGAAAGCCACTTTTTTTCTGTTTTTTTCCCCGAGACCACACTCAAGCTGTGCATGTGAAAAACTTCCTTTAGGCAAAGATCTGTCCAGATAAAAGCATGCAGTATATTCCCAATGGTTTGCACACTGCATTAGAACGATGTTTGCACAAGGCTATCAGGCTACATGTTTTCACTATGCAAAGCAACAGTGATTGTTGATTAACTTTCCATCTTGTTCTTTTGGCAAAGCCATGACATTCACCATTCGTACTCGGATTGAAAACGGAGAGTTGGCTGTTATTGCAGTCCAGTTCTTTGACTTAGTGCAGTTCTCAACCCGAGTGACTTTTAGAACCTGTCTAATTCTTTTGCTAATTTCCTGCGATAGAATGGATGGCTTTTGTATCTTAAAGCAGATGTGAGCATTGTTTCAAACACAGAACCTTCTCTTCTTTTTACTCCTGTCAGATGGTCTCCTGCCACCGATGTTTTAACACAAATCCAAACACAGTTCTAAATCCCTTACTCTGCAGTCATAAATGAATACAGGTCGTTATTAGGCTTTTGGAATGAAGGCAAATGGGAAGATTTCCCTGGAATAAAGGCAACATTATTCCAGGTTTACATGGTGTGATCTAACAGATGACTTGAATTTCTATATCTCTAACAGTTAAACTCTTTATTCCTCATTCTCCACAGGAAATCCAACAGAGAATTTTAGTGTCGCCTTTTTTTCCCTAGTTTCCTCACTCCATTTGTCTTCCAGTTCAATGACAATGCAAAGCTTTATGCCCGTCTCCTATTTGACTTGCTCTTAGAGACGTGCTCTCGCGAGGTTCCCTTTCCTTTGGTGTTGCAGTTCTCCTGGTGGCTCTAGGGATGAGTACAAACATGCTCATTGCAAACCTGCCGAAGAGCCTTCAGATCCAGATCTGCAGGGAGTAGAGCTCTCTGATGTACAGTATTCTATAGCTCTTGTGTTGTTACCTTGACTGATGAGGCCTCCAAAACTCAAACAATAAAGATCAAGCTGGTGTGCAGTGGAAGAAGAGGCTCGGGCCAGAGAGCACAGCCGTGCCATCGCTACTGCCCGGGGACGTAGGGCCAACTGATGGAGCTGCCAGAGAGCTGCATGTCGCGGATCAGAGTCTCGATGGGCGTCTTGCCCACCAGCCGCATGAAGAAGAGCTGGGAGATGAGCGAGGCGGGCACGGCCCTGAGGGCGGGCAGCCGGAGCAGCAGGCGGCCGAAGCGCTGGGGCTGGCCCGGGTACTGGGCGCGCTCGTACTCGGTCAGGGCCACCTGGGCCTTCTCCTGCAGGCTCTCCACGTGGGCCGGGTCCGTCAGGCCGCAGGCGTCTGAAAGGGAGAGAGGATTGGGTCCGGGAAGCAGTTTGAAGCGAGCGCTTCGAATATCACACTCTGTGGGCTGGTTTTACCAAAGCACCAGCCCTGCTCTTGCAGACTCAAATTCACATGAAGTAATCCAAGATTTATGATCATCCTGGCCTGTCAAATACTAAAAACTCCTTCTCTTTTTTGTTTATTCCCACCATGGTCATGCAGAATCTTTGACTTTAGTTTGATCAATGCTCTGAATAAATTACGAATCTCAAACTTTGGAAGAGACTCATCTAAGACTTAGAAATGGATCTAAGACCTGCAGAATTGTGGCGAAGGATAGAACTTGCAATCCCTGGTTCTTTTCACAGCTATCCAATATCTCTTTGTGCTAAATTACAGACGTTACACATACAGAAAAAAAACCACAACGGCGAAATTGGAATGGGGATTCTATGTCCAACAGTGACGGTAAGGTTTGGGGGTCGATGTTTTCTCAGTAACTGCTGGTCTAGAGCAGATTTCTTTAGTTTCACGCCAAGACCACACACATGTTCGCCAGCAGAGGGAGCCAAAGTACAGCAATCCCCTTGATATCCCCGTTGTTCTCAGCGCTGAGGCTGTCTCTGCACAGGTGTGGGGGGGGGAGAGTTTCTTTTCCCGATTCCACACAAAAAGATCTTTCACAGTTGAAATGTTTTTCAGTGATATTTTATACACCACAGGCTGCTATACGGCCGTTTTAATGTCCACTGGGACCTGCTGGGTTGTGCTCCATCTGAGGTTCCAATTGCCCAGTATAATTGAATTACTAATTCAATTTATCTGTCTTTTCCAGATCACCAGCAGCTGACAGCTTAAACAGGCTTCTATAAGGCTGATTTTAGCTCCCCCCCCCTTCTGGTCAGGAATTCATTTTCAGGGCCTTGAAAACCTCATCTTGTAGAGCCCCAGTCTCCTCTGGGCTTTTACTCCAGCTCAAGCTGAGCTCTAAACGCAATTCTGCGCCTTGCGCACCTCCAACCCCCCGGCCGAGACGACCGGCCCGTACTGCGCGCCCCCAGGCGGGTAGGCAAACGAGAGCCTGTGCCAGCGCAGGCCAGCGGAGGAGGGGGCACCCACCTGGCGAGAAGAGGGCGATGGCTTTGAGGCAGCTGTATTCGGCCGAGTCCACCTGCAGGCGGGTCAGCTTGTCCACCTGGTCCTGGAAGACGCGCACCTGGTCCATGAAGGAGACCACCCTCTCGGCCGACATGGGCGCGGCGTGGAAGCCGGCGGCCGCCAGCAGGGGGGCCATGTGCAGGGGCAGGGCGGACTGCGCGGCGTTGAGGATGAAGAGCTCGCTCCAGCTGAGCCGCAACAGCGCCACCTGCTCGGACACGGGCAGCTCGGGGAAGTAGGGGATGTTGCGGGCCCACTCGATGGTGCTGAAGAGCAGGCGGGCGGCCAGCTCGCAGATGTTGTCGATGCCCATGACGCTGGCGCCCTGCTGCGGCTGCTGGCCGAACTGGGCGCCGTACCGGCTGCTGGGGTACGGCTCGGCCCGCAGCAGCTGGGAGATGAGCTCGGACACGGGCTGCCCGTTGAAGAAGTCCACCCCCCCGCCGCCGCCGCCGCCGCCCCCCCCGGCGCCGGGCGTGGACGTGGGGCTGATCCCCGAGTGGGACGGGGGGATCCGGCCCCGCTGCACAGCTGGAGGGGAGAGAGGGAGCAAGAGGGGGGCTGAGTGACCGCGGACCCCAGACGGAACCCCCTGACGTCACCGGCCCACCTCCAGAGCACGAGACCCTCGCAGACCGGCGGGCGTGGAGGGGCGGTCAGGGCTCTGCACTCATACCAGGAGGCATGTAGGTGTAAACCCCAGGCTGGGCACTGCTGTGGTGCCCTTTGGCACTGTGCATCACTCCAATGGCATCACACACGGGCGGTGGGGGAGTCCCACATTACCTGTAAAGCACTTTGAGTGGGGTGTCCAGAAAAACGCTATAGGTGTAAGGACTATTACTAAGAAAGAAAAAAAACATGAGAGGAGATTAAAAAAGTACCACAAAAACAGGGGTTTTTAAGCGTGGTAGAAGACACAAGGGGGCAGACCCAGACATCAGTGAAGTCAAAGCCCTTCTGAAGAAGAAGGTTTGGAGTCTGGATTTGAAAGGCCTCAGGGAAGGTGACTCTCGGATATTCTTGGGGATAGAATTCAAGACCTATTGGGGCGCTGCAGGAGAAGGCACCCATAGAGTGTAATCGAGCTTGGGGGACAAACAAGGGAGCAGAGTCAAAGGAACAAAGGTTGCAAGGTGGGGAGCAGGAAGATGATAAATCACATAGGTACTGAGGTACCAAGCCATGTGGCAAGAGCCTTATCCCTGAGCATGAGGATTTTGAAGGCGTGACGAGTTCTGGTGTTTGAAGTCCTCATCTGTTCTAAATGGAATTTAGAAACTCTGCATCTATGAGCTTGTAAGTCACCTTGGATAAAGGTATCAGCCAAAATTGGAAAGGGGGGCATCTTGCCCTCATTGTTATACAATATTAGGTAGTATTCCATTGAAAAGGTGCCTGAAGTCATAACCTTTTTCAATTTTACATTGTGACAAGTTAACCACAACTGACAGATCTTTGCAACTGATGGGTGAGACTTCAAAAGCTTTGACACAAACCGATAGCTATTTGTCTGAACCGTTATTAAAGCATGAATGTCTCAAACCTTCATGTATGGGCTTGATTTGGCATTTGAAGACCTCTGAGGTGATTTTAGATACGCTCAAATCCGAGATTGTTGATATTTGCTTTCAGAAGGACAAGTAAACATACTGATCTATATAACCTTTAAGGACATTTTCCCTATGGAAATTCTTTTTAGAGTAGGTAAGGACTCCTAAATACCAGAAGACATTGCAGTTTCCCATAAGCAAGCAGGTCTGAATAGGGAGCTGTGAAGGAACAAGAGGTTAATGTGGACACCCGAAGAAGAGAACTATTTTTTTTTACTTTTTAACATGGTATTAACCTCTATTTGATCAAATAAAAAAACACATATTGACCTAAAAAATTCAGGGACTTAATTAATTGCCCTTCTTTGAAAACAAACAGTCCATGAAGGACCTGCCTGCACAGAAGTAGCTTTCATCTGAGGGGCTGCTCAATGCAAAGGAGGTATTTGAAAGTTCATTCTGGGTTTTGACCTTGAAGGAAAGGGAAATACCTCTTGTCACATGCCCCTGGATGGGGGAGGGGAGGAGGTAGTGGGATGACTGATGTTAGTTCCATTGTCACATGACAGGGGCATAAAGGGAGGAGCCTGGGCGTCCTCTCTGAAAACTGCCAGCACCTGAGAAATACACAGCCAACCAGAGTCACAGCCTTTGGAAAGGGAGTGCTCAAGTGCTCAAGTGCTCATGGGGAAAAATCCAGAGCATGCTGTGTTAGCTACATAAACAAAACTCGAGCCAAGCACACTGGCTTTTTTTTTTGCTGTTAATTATAGTGCAAATTAGGATTGTCTCACTTCACAATTCATGTTATTTCTGTATTTGCATACCTGAAATAATGAAAATGCAACTAGAAGGTAAGAATTTTCAGTTTGCAAATTTCTGTTGATTTTTTTTTCAACAAAAAGCAAAGGACCTGAAAGATATTGTGAACCTTCTACCATTGGTCAAGTGACTGACAAGGCCAGTTTGAGCAGGAAACAGGCAGGCAGATTATAACTATAAAGAGTGTCAG